GTTGTTTTGAATGATTTTTCATTTAATATTTAAGTGGTAGTTTGTGAGCTGATTTAAAAATTAAATCATTATGATCGATAATTATTGAATTGCTTTCAGTGCTACGTTTTGCAGAATTCTGTATGCAATTCATCCATAATGCTACCAATTTCTAAAGCTTTTGGGCAAAGGAAGCATCTAATATTTTTTGTACTTTCAATGATTATCACTGACAAAGCTATAGGAGGTAGCTCTTTATTAATTTTTAGCATATTAAATTTCGCTTTTGAGTACTAGTATAATTTAAGAATTGTTTATAACTTTCTAAGTATTTTTATTTTTTTAAAACTTATTTTTAAAAGTTTTTAGTACAAAAATTGACATTGTATATAATAAATCTTCGCAGTTACAAAACAACAAATAGCCATTGGACAGTATTATTTTTCACAAACGGCTACAATTCCAAATTATGGTTGGAGTGCAGAAACGCATTCATCAGCGGAACCAATATACGATGATACACTTTCTCAGTCCAAGCAAAAACAGCATAATGGCCATTACAAAGATATTGGACGAAGTAAAACTCGATTGTATCCAATTCCTGCAAAAATTTTTTACAAAAATCGTTTCAAATTGCCACGTAAAATCAATGCGCAACAAAAAACGTTGGTAGATAATCAACAAAAATTTCAAATTACCCAACGCAATACTACGAAGTTGACAACTGAAAGTTTTACACGAGGTAAGCTAATTGTTTGCAATTTTTTTAAATTACTGCAATTTCAATAATTCTGAGATAAAAATAACTTGAGCAGCTAGTTTAGCAATAATATAATAATCATTTACGTCCAATATTTTCAATAAAGTTAAAAAATGCTTGTTAAAATGCTTTATATGAAATGTATCAACAAATTTTTAAATAGACCCAAATTTTAGGCGAGAGGATAGTAAATGTCCTTATCAGAATGAATGTTGAGGATTCCAAGGCAACGGTATTTGGTGAAGTACCCTTTGTAGTTCTAATATCGCCTAATCAGGTGTATCGTGAATTTACAAAAAACATTATAAGTGATCATACTGAAAAGAGCTTCGATAGCAGTTATTATAAACTTATTAGATTGATCGAAAGGTTTCAAGGAAATACAAAAAGTTTGGCTAGTGATTCTCTGATGTTTAGTGAAAAATTGGATTATTATCAATTATGGAATTTGATAATGCAAATAAGAAAACGATTATTTCATGATAATGCAGAAGTTCTAAATCAAATTTTGCATGTTCGTGAAGATATTAATAGTTTCAAGCAGGATATTGGTAAGGTCAAGAAATTTCTACAACAAATTTATTTTAGTAACGAAACTTTAGCGTCCAGTAAAATAAACAATTATTCTGAAATATCAGCGAATCGATTGCATCCAAGTTTTGCTCACTATCCTCGAAAACTAAATACGTACGTTAAACAAGCAAGACCACTGTTTATTGCTTTTGCACAAATGGCAAATAATAACAAGTCATCTGTTGGAATTCAACTGGAAAAAATGCCAGTGCTAAAAAAAAATAAATCCAGAAATGAAGTACTGAAATATCGTAATTCCAGGAATATCACATTTTTATCAGAATTTATGACTAAGCAAAAATTTGCAAATAAGGATGTGATGATCAGTGGAAGAAGAAAATTGCTTAAGATTCTACCAATAAATAAGGAAAAATCTGCAATTTCTCAAGGAGTTGCGCCGGACCTTATGGTAAACCTAAGTTCTCAAGTGGAAATTACTAGTATCCCAGAAAATTCCAGGAAATTTCTGGGCTTCCTTAAACCTGAAATTATAAAAAATGAAACTTTGAATGCAAGACGGGAAGAAAGCTTGGAATCTAAACTGAATACTTTATCAAGCAATAATTTTTTTGAAGCAGTACCTTTATTAAGTGATCATCAAGAATTGCCGATAATCTCTGTGACTGAAGCTTACCGACCTTTTACATTTGTTCGACTTACAGCAAAATCAAGAATAAATTTCAGTAGAGGAAGTGATAACTCAACTCTTACTCGCTGAAATTCACGTATAACACGTGAAACTTCTTACAGCTCAAGGATCACTTCTGATAACATTTTTACATTTCGCCTAACAATGACAACTGCAGCAAATATTTTCAATATTGCTACTGATTATTTTTGTACTATTGCAACATTTATCAAAAATATTTTCACTACTGCTCCCAATGATTCTAGAAATTAATTTTACCACGTATTTATTATGCCCTGAATGAATGATTTACAACAGACTTTATGTAATTATTTTTAAAAAAAGAGTGAAATTTAAACGCTATGTAGATGTTCAAAATATATTAATTTTTATATATATTTTTGTTATCAGCATTGTTTTTCTTTGATTATTCGTTTGTTGTCAAAAAACTGTCTACATTATAAATAAAAATCATACTATTTTACTTGATATCTTTAGTAATAAAATAATTAAAAATGAAGTAGAAACTTCAGCCTGGCAAAAAGCTTGCTTTGGTATTCAAGGACAGAAAGACTCACTTGATGGATAAAAGTGAATTACTCAAATTTGTATTTGGAATCAACTTACTCTGATTTCAGTCTGAACAAAGTGAATAATAAGCATAAAGTAAACGATAGATCAAATCATCAAATATAGTAAAAATGAGTTCAAGATGATTAATTACATAGGCACATTGTAGTTTATCTTTAATATGATTTTGTCAGCCGGTATAAGCAGCATATTTTGTTACTAATAACGACACGTCAGTTTTTTCAACTCAATCGCGTGAAATAAGTGTAAATTTTGTGGAAATTTGAAAGTAAAGTGATGGCTTTATGAACAAGTGATTTGGCCAATTATTTATAACTTTTCTTAAATGATCTGCTTCTAAGGAAACTTTTCGCACAGTTAAATAAAAGTGACTCTAACCATAATCTGAATTTCATCGGAATAAATTATTTCCTAGCATGCATTTATTGTAATTAAATAATTCTTAATGAATAATTGTCTATTTTAGCAGAATTAGTGAAAATTCAAAAAAGTCACCTGTTAAACATTTTGGCCTCTTTTCAATGTTAGCTTGATGAAAATAACTGAGTTTAAGTTTTTTATTTAAAATATTCATCTTTTATTCATATTTATTCATAATACTGAAGGACTTAATAGGAAATCAATGACGTATTGAAAAGTTCAGCGCGAAATAACCGAAAAAAATATTTTAGCAATTTCACTGATAGCTCAGTGCATATGATTATTATGAAAATAGAGAATTATAAGAACTTTTATGGAAAAATCATTTACGTCAATTATGACTTTTCAATCATTTAATAAATTTCCCGCAACAAATCAATAGTTTCTTCATCAATACTTAATTTTGTAATCGATATTCTAAAAATATTATTAATCCTAAAATAAAAAAATTGATAATAAGATTTTTAGATTAAAAAAAATTTTTGATAACAGTAGTAATTGATATGGATTACTTGAAAAATTACAGAAAC